CTGAGTCCAAGTAACTTATTTTGTACTAGAAAAATCCAATACACTACACAAAAGTATACAACAAAATCCTTCATCCAACAAGATAAAAATTATGATGGCTGCCATCCAGTCAAAATTACTATACACACAATGAAATAGGAAAATATGACCCATAAATAGGGTAAAAATCAGTCAATAGAAACAAAGAAATGACAAATGCTAGCCTAGCAAACAAAGAAATTAAAACAGCTATATTTATGCTCTATGTGTTCAAGACATAAACATAGTAAGGACAGAAATGAAAGTTACAAACAAAACCCAAAGGTAATTTCTAGAGATGGGAAATACAATATCTGGAAAAGTAATATACTGTGTAGGTTTAAAATCAGATTAGACTCTGAAGAATTGACCAGTCAGCTTGATGATATGGTAACAGAAACTAGTCCAATGAAGAAAAGAGGAAAAAAAAGACTAAAAACACAAAAATGAACACATCATCAGTGATTTCTAGGACAAAACCAAGCAGTGTGCCATAAACAAATATAATTGGACTTTCAGAAGTAGAGGAGAGTAACGGTGGGACAAAAAAAAAAAAATTCGACGAATAGTAGTTGAAAAAATAAACCCCCAAATCCAAGAAACTCAAAAGACCTCAAGGGGTAAAAACCAAAGGGAAAAATCAAGATATGTCAAGATCAAATTATTGAAAAGTGGTGATAAAGAGAAAATTTTAAAAGCAGCCAATGGGGAAAAAGACACATTATGTACAGTGGAACAAAGACAAGGATGATAATCAACTTTGCTTCCACAATTATGCAAGCCAGAAGATATTGCGGTGACATATTTAAATTATTGAAAGAAAAAATGTGAACTTACAATTCTTTTCCAAGTGAAAAGATCTTTCAATAGTAAAAGTAAAATAAACACTGTTTCATATGATAAAAGGTCTAGGACAATTTGCCACTGTCAGATCTGTACTGCCAGAAAAGTTAAAGACAGTTTTTAGGCAGAAGGAAAACATCCAGATGGAAATGTAGATCTATACAAAGAATATTCAATTATTCTAGAAAATGCAGGAACAGATAAATAAAAGAACATAGGACAGATTGAAAAAAAGCAAAACAATTATATCTATAAATACATTAAATGTAAGTGGTTTAAACACTCTAATTAAAAATCACACATTTTCTGATTGGATAAAACAAGAACCATCTACATGCTGTCTATAAGA